CTGTCAATCATAGTTTTTTTCATACTACCCAACAATAGAGATAGAAATAGGTACCTACTGGGATATTTGAAAAATGAAAAACCTTTGTAACTACGAAGTAAAGTCTCCAATGAACAACATTGATGCTTGAAAGTTAGGTATGCTAAGTTTATTTTTATGGTATAAGTTGGTAAATGAGCAGACAGATTACCTGATGGTAAGCAATCTGCGTCGCCCATGGACATCTCGAACACCAGAGGCGATACAAGTGCGTTACCGGCATTTTGGAATTTAAGGATTGTTGCGGATTCAGGGATTGGGAAAGGGAGGGGGGGGGTAATATAATTGGGCCTCCGGTAACCTCACTCGCACGACGAAACACAACGCGAGCGTTGTTCCACGTCGGTTTTCTTTGAGGCCGTGGTATCACTTAGGTGGAGCCGGCCCACTCGTGCCGAAACATGGCTGTCCCACACTTGAAAAATAAAAAATTTAAAAAATTGCTACTATTTTTTTTCCGTCCTTAACGTTGATTAAAATGTTTTTGAAATGGAGAAAGAAGAAGAACTAAGAGTAGAATCAATAACATAACTATTAGAAATAAATCTTTAAGAAAAGATTTTGTTCCTTTTTAAAAGGCCGGCAACGCACCTGTTTCTCCTCTGGTGTGGTGTCCATAGGCGGCGCTGATCACTTACCAACAGGTGATCCGTCTGCTCGTTTCCTTTCTATCCCATAAAAAAAATATCATATCGATATGTGTAATGTAATGTTGTACTTGTTATTATTTTTATTATTTATTTTTTATCCATTTATTTACATTTTTGGCCGTAATCGTAGCTGTTGATTTTGTTTTCACTTTTAAATTAATTCACTAATTATGAATTGATGTAGATGTTTAAACGTGTTAGTACGTATTATAACGGGCTGGTGCTGAAAATCAGCGCCGTGGGCTCGAGCCTCTGTGCCCGGTCCACGGTATTAAGCTGAGCTCCAGCCTTTTGCGCTGCGACGCACTATGGGCTTTTTTTCGGTGTTTCTAAATTCTTATTGTGTGTCGTAGCAAAATAAATGGTTTTTCTTTCTTTCTTTCTTTCATATTACGTTGGAAGAATCCCAGAAAATCGATAAATATGGTCCCCGCAACCTTTTAGCCGAGTTCTCACGCCGCTGTTACTGTTAACCTAACTGCCTGTAAGCGGTGCACTCATAATACTTAAAAATTAAAAGTTATTGTATTTATGAAACGTGTGAGAATGTTTAATTAAATAAGTGGAATAAACGGAACTAACTACTTATTAAAGCTAATGAAAGTGACGACACACTAGTAAACATTGTGGAAACAACGACTAATGATATTATACTAATCCTCTAAGTTCTCAAGCCGATTAGGCAATAGGTACGTAGGAGTTACTTAAAAACACATAACAGTTTTACTTACAATGGGACAATTACCTTCTAAATAAAATACTTCCTTCCTTTACTATCTGCCTTTCTTGGCATTGTTTATAATTATACTAAAAGTTACGTTAGATTGCCTACCCAGTACGAGCAACTAGAGGTCCTTTGCAAAAAACGTTAACATCAATTCGAATATTAACTGCTGAAACAAATGACCATCAACGTAAAATTTTCTTTACAAAACTAATTACCCAAGGATCGGTAACACAAACAATGATTAGTTCCACATTATTGTCGTATCCTGGGACTCATCGAGAATTAGTTGCGCGATCTGTTAGGAGCACGCCCAGGGCAGCGTCATGTGTTACAACTCCGATCGGCGATCATTAATGAGTAACAGCAAAAAATATGTTCGTCTACACAATACAGGCGCATGACTCGCCGCTCCGCGATCAATTATTAATAAAAAGCGGGCCGCTTCATTGAAAGGGCGATTAGCTCAATATTTATATGGAATATTCGGTATCAACGGCGCTTTGTGGCCATAATTCGGTGGGTCGTGACGCGGCGCGTTTGACTCTCCCGCCCGCCATAGACCAACTGTTTCGGGTGAGCCGTAGACTTGATACTGGGTTAATTAGGGAAATATAGCATGCACAAACATTAATCAAAAGTAAAAAGATCATTAAAGGAGAATGTTCACGTAACTATGGAAATTCGTCTTACGTTGTTGCACAATAAATCTTTATTTATTATAGACCATGCTTATTATATTATCGAATAAAAGCGTTAATTTTCCCATAAATATCCGGGTTTTTAAGTAATTAGACAAAAACGAAAATAACCTAAAATTATGTTTAAACTGTCAAACACCGTGCGGTCACCGGTGACCGTAACCTATTGTTCTTTAATTGTGTCTATACTAGCGCAGTGACTGTTATCAATCTCAAAAAACCCAAACAGTGAGTGACTGATGTCTGCCGCTAGCCTAGAGATGGGCGATATGTATCGCACGCGACGCGTATCGATACAACGCTATGTGATAAACCGTTATTTTGTTTTGGTACACCACCATACGATATACCTACACCGATAGGTAGGTACGTATCGTACTTTTCATCGTATGTCGTATCGCATTTTAATTCACATTACCAAATTCGGGTTAAGTTTATATATCTTAACCGCACAGGTCTTTTATTACATTGAAACTATACAGGCCTGACATGACATGATTTGTATTTAACTATAATTCATTTGTTATAACGGCCAAATAATTTTTCCAGGACGACAAACAATTCAAACAAACAGTACAATTGTACCTACTACTAGCAACGCGATAAGCGGGAACATATTCATATATGTATATGAAAGTGCTATAAAACTGCCCACGCGGGCCAGTTTAGCTTGGATACCTACGTTTCAGTTTTAACCCTTAGAGAGCTAATATTTTCTTTGAAATCATACCGATGTTTTTTTTAAAATATCGATATTGGTATATTTTTAAAACATAGATACGACATCCCTAGCCGTCGCATCCAAATGCCACCGCTCTGTCTGTCACATGTCATGCATGACAGTTGCTTCTGCGTGAGACGGAACACAAAAATAATTATAATTGTAACAATACTACAAAATACTAAATAAATACTTTGTAAAATGTATTGATATTACAAATTATTTAGCTTTTATTGAAGTTGACATATTTCTTGTGATGATTTTGCCGAAAGGTTCTACTTAAGTGATTCGTAAACACGAAGTTTTATTCGTAAGTTAGCACGGAACGTCAATGTCCTTGAAACGGAAATTCCATAGCAATTTTTATGTTACTATTAATCTTATCATCATAATTCCGGATACGAAAATACAATTCCTGAAGTGAAAAGGTTGTAAAAAATAAGAAAATTATTTCTATATTATTTTGATTTTTCAACTTGAAACTTTGCTAGACTGCTTTTGGTCAATCTCCTTTAAGGAATCTCATTTTTAACCGAAACAAGGTAATATATAAGTAGAGTAGGTACTTCTGCTATTAAGAGCTGCTGATTCTGCTACTAAGATGTCCAGAAAAATAAAAATTGTTACTAAATTCACTTACAGAAATAGAAAAAATCACCAATTTTTATAACATACGTGAACCTCAGTGAGTTTCGCAGCTCGCAGGCAACATCTAGCAAGTCAGAAGTTACCTTCAGCTGAGCGATACGTCCCGGGCCACCACGCTCGCTTCATTGTACTACCGAATTGACTCGCCGACTCTTTCAATAGAATTCTTCGCCGTGAAAGCAGCCACTATGTCGGCATAAATTTATTTAATCTGATACATTTGCCCGAACATCAATCATATACTCGACACTAGCGAATTATTAGATCATATTTAGATGTGTTGATTTCATATTCAACGCGCTTTGGAGTAAATTAGAGTGGGTAGTGGCAATTATAGTAATGTTCGTAGATTATTATAATGTAGGTAGTCTAGATATACGATTCTTCAATCAATTCAAAACAATGTCGTGTCTACAAAGTTCAATCTCCAATATTCCGACAACATATTATTCCGTGTTAAATGAACTGTACAGAACGCTAAACTAAAGGTCTAATACCAATTAATTACTTGTATAATTCATTTGGCATTACTGACTCGCATAGCAACCCATGGCTGCCAGAACAATTTTTCAGTAGAGCTGATGCTAATGAAAAGGCATTTTCACGAGCTTTGGCGCCGGCCGCCATGCAAATGTGCTGTTTAATGACGCGCGAAGCCACGCCACACAACTATACTAACTTTACGGACACAAAACGTTACATTACACACAGTTTATTGTGAAAACTCGACTCGAGTTGTAAACGTTAATATCTACGCTACGACTATATCTGCACAATCCGAAGCGAATTACAACCAATGAGACTTATGAATACATCTTGACCCCACACTGACACGTATTGACAGTCGTTATTTATGGTGAGAAATACGGAATAACATATTACAAACAGAAAATAAAGTTTAGACACAAAACACTAGCCGTGGAAACTTACGTCCAACACATTCTCCACCAGCGGCGTCTATTCACTAATTTTAACTAAATGTTTTATGACTCGAGCTTCGCTAAAAGACTAAATTCTCTCAAGATAAATGTGTCACAATTGAGTCATTCGACCCGCCTTTAAAATGAAAAGCCCTTCAACCTTGAAAAGGCCAGAGAATGCGGCATGAAAGAGGCTCACAATACTCTTTTAATTTGTCATTATGCAGCAATAAAAACATGGTAAATGAGAGCGACAAAAAACTCGTTCAGAGACAAACAAAAACCGCGAGTTGGGGCGAAATTCGCAAATCATTCTGCGATAATGACGGCCGCTTGAAAAAAATTTAAATATCAAAAGGCCGGACGGGGCACGGTAATGGTTTAAAATCATTTTTCATTCGAGTCACTCGTGAGTCAGAAATATGAAAACGGTAGCCATCGCATCGGGCGGCGGGCGCGCTTCCATTAACTCTAGCCGACTTGCGATTAGAATTTTGGACGAGCTCCATCTTTCATTAATCTGTTACCTTCTTCGGAATAAATAAAACAAAAATGTTGATCAATTACGGTGTTGGAATGAAACTACATAAGTACCTGCGTCGTTAATGGTTTTTATTTACAAAGGTCCTTTTTAATATTAAATCGCATGACTTATGTTATTTAAATGTCATTTGTTCTTCTTTTTCTTGTGCTTGGGTTGCGATTGGTCGACGGGTGGCAAACCGCTGTCGAATTCGCTGGCTGTATGCATTGAGCTCTGCTTCGGTATGTTGCGATTGCCGGAGCCGAACTTAGCTTTTGGGAATCTGTGAACGACGCATTATTCATTATAATGAAGTGATTCAAACCTATCAACATGGTCAATTAAAATTCTCTAATTGACTGCAAAAATTTGATGATTCTTAAAATCTTCAAAGATGCGAAAAAAAAACATATTACCAAAACAAATCATGCTGGTTCTTACCCTGGCCGTTTCTTCTCTTCGTCCGCATGTACAGTGAGTCTATTGGAAGGCCGGTCCTTCTTATTGCTAGGGTTGGACTTGACCCTTCGAGCTAGCGTGCCTGGGGCGTCCCGGAGAGCGAATGCTTTGGCTGCATGACCCAAGTGCAGTTGTTTCGAGTCCAAGTATTCGCGCACATCACGTGGGTAACCCGCGTAGAAACGGACCCATGATGTATATGCTAAAGTGGAGAATTAATCTTTAATGTTTTGTAGATATATACAATGTGCTTGTAGTAAGGTACTTTATAAGCGTTTATGTTCGAGTTACTCAATATCAAGGGTTTAAGCAATGTCTTCATTAGTCACAAATTTTTCGTCTAAAAGTATGTATAACCACAATCTCAAATGAGATATTTAGCTAACATAACTTAAATAGAAATACATCTAAAATTTTCACAATAAGAATACTAAAGTTGGAAAAATAAACTATTAATCTAACTTAAACTCCTTTAGGACTACTTTATTTACAAAGAGAGTGACAAAAAATTTCAATGAAATAATAGTGGAAATAAAGATAGAAATAAAACACTACAACTAACAAAATACTACTACAAAAATATATAAAAAACATACCTCTGCTGGCTCTGAGCAGCCAGTCTCTATTTGTATGAGCGGTGTGTTCCAGGCGTGCTTGTACTGCAATGGCGGCGCGCTGAGCAGTCGTGGCTCCCGGTACTACGGTACGCAGCGCTTCTAAAGCTCGGGACTCGTCACCTTGACGTAACCTAAGACATGAGGTCAAACATATAGGTGAAGGTATTCGACAGCCTCTAATAAATTGTTTAGAGTTAGGCAAACAAAGTATTGGCATTCTAGGTAGGAATTGACATTAAAGAGTTTACAGTGACAGTTTTGGTAACCAATTGTACAATTAGGTTGTAATCCATCCTAACCCGATCTATAAAGGAACAGAAATAAAAAACAGTCTGACGCGTAGAGGTAACAACTTAGGACAATATCTCACCTTATCCTCTTCTCCTCCAAATGCCTGATGAACTTCGCTTCGCTAGGTAATAGGAACAACACAGCAGCACCGACTTGAGCTGCACGTCCAGTACGACCCACTCTGTACGAAAGAAAAACTTGAATAACCAACACCGTCACCATCGCCAGTTATAATACGGTAAAGAAAGGGAACTCCTTTTTTATCATCAAATGACTCTTCCTTTCCATCTCCTGCTCCGAGCCGGGCCGCGGTATGTCATTGCGCTGGACTCGCAACCCCGGCCGAAAACAAAAAGAGTTTGCCATCGCCTAAAGTGTTCTTTCTAGTTGCCTTTCGCAATTAGTTGTTTCTTTTAATTGACAATTAAATTTAACCATATTTTTGCGTCTTGAAGTTTAAATTACGTAAATCATTTGATCCAATTAAATAATTACGAATAATAAGCAGTGCACAATTAGTCATCACCGCTAATTGCATCCCCGACTATCTGCATTTATTAGCAGATGAACGATGGCTTATATATATTTAATATATATTTTACTTCAATGGTCTTAGATTTTTCTTTTTCGCAAGTGAATAAAGGAGTTGTGGCGCTAAATAAAGGCACATTATAATAACATATAGGTATAGTAGATATAAATAAATTAAATATATAAAGGCAAGATTTACGTTAATAATATGTATGTAATTAACGGATGTGTTACCTGTGAACATAATCGGTGGCAGAGGCTGGAACACAAAACTGCAACACGAGATCCACTCGAGGCACATCAATTCCTCGGGCAGCAACATCCTAGTGGATCAACAATGACAATACTATGACGTAATGGACTTCGAAAACATATAGGTACGTAAATTAATACAAATATTCCTCAACAGATTAGAATGACATCGATTGGACCTGTTTTTCAACCCCTTGAAAGTAAAGTGCATGAAGGTCAAGATCTAGAAGATATTTCTAATGTCTTAAAGTCGGAAGTAGATCACTATAAGATCTAGTACACGATAAGCCATGTACAAAAAAGTTTAATGTAAAAAGTTTAGCGAAACTGAACGTTACACGAATACAGGAGCGTCGCAGCGCGTAAGCGAGTGAGCGCCGCCTCGGTAGCCACCGCCCGCTGCGACCAAGATTAAACCCGATACGATCTCGCCTTCGCACCGTCATTATCTACACTATGGAGGACATTACACCGCGACTATTGCTGTATTAATGCAATTAAAAACACACTACCACATACAATGTATTCGTCTCGGCTAATTACCCGATTAGAAAATTATTTTACGCTTCACCTACAACTCCGACCTACCGTGGAAAATATTAAAACGATAATCAAGAACTTTTTCAACAACCTCTGAGAAGACCTTTTCGAACATGTATTCGATTACTAATTACAAAGTTTAAATAGTTGCATTATCAAGACGTTTAGTTTTTCTTGCGTCATTAGTAGAGTATTAGTTCTTATGGTTAATATTCAGCAAAAACTCGAAAAGGGTACGGAACGTTACAAAAAGTTAATGTTGATTCAAAACCCACGATTACCACAATTAAGTTTTTAATTTCCAACATAGGCCGAATATTAAATTGAGGACCTTGTCCTAGTGTCCTTTGGGACGGTAGACGAACAATTTTGTACAATGAAATTGTAATTAGAATCTCCGGCGTAACAGTAAGGTTCCGATGTCGGCGATGATAGATGTAATAAACACATATAATTGTACATAATCGAGGCGTATTGTGGCGGCGCGCGGCGGTGTGGGAGCGCACAGAGAGCTAGATGAATGACCAGCTAATAGGCACCGCGCCACAATAGCTAGCGACAAAGGTGAGCGGCGGGAACATGGACGCCATTATTAAACTAAGAATGTGATGATTAATCTGGTAGCACGTTTTCGAAGATAATAAATTGAATTTCTATTGTGCGCGTAAACACGATTAAAAAATATTCAAGAGATACGATTTTATTTGATTCGAATTACATGTGCGCGGTAATAACACAAGACAATGATTGACTCGCGTTGGAGGCGCGTAACCTTTAAAATAGGTAATTATGAATTAGATCTACTGATTTATATTATAAATTCGCTAGATTATATTCATCTCACTGTCGGTAAAACCGAAAAGAAGTTCCGTTTTTCTATGAGTTCTAATTTGCTACCCATATAGTCTTAGTAACAACTTGTAAATATCAGCAATAGTCCGAATTGCAAATATTGTTTCTATGACTTACCGTACAAATAAGTACTCCGCTTCGTGCAGTTCGGAACTGCTTGAACACCTCCATCCTCTGCTCGTGAGGCATAGATCCGTGCAGGCTAAACATATCCAAGTCGACTGGCACCAACCCACCTTCCGTTGGTTCTTCATATTCCACTTTGAAGTCATCTTCATCTTCCGATGATGATGAGTCTTTGTCCTAAGCAAAAGATAATACACCAATCATAGCATCTCCAAGGCTGATCAAAAACACACACAATAATGTTGTGTGAATCCTAGATTTCGGTTCCCCATTCCCCCTTGCAAGCACTCAATGAACGAAACGGTTATGATAACGATCTAAAACCAAGCCACGTCTATTGTTCTATAAAGACGCAAAATCCCATCTGTACGTATCGTCGTAACAAACCCACTTTGCGCCTATTAGGTATGAGAAAATACACATAAACCACTATATACATGTGCAAATTAAAAAAACCTATTAAACTTGGCGAGGCGAGAAGAACTCTCGTCCATTCCATGAGCTAACTTAATAACAATTCGTTTTACTTACATCATCACCATCTTCATCATCAGCTTTTCTTTTCTTCGCTTTAGAATTTTTAGCTTTCTCTTGATTCTTCTTTTTGACTTCTTTGCCAGTAAGCGCAGTATCTATAAGGTCTGAGAGATAGTCGACCATTTCAAGTGTGGCTACGAACACTATCATTTTACCTCCTTTCTTGTTCATTATGCAATGTTCTACAATGAGACCGCACAAGGTAACAAGTCTTAGTTTCATTGGAACTATAAGGAACGTTTGGTTCACTGTTGCTGGTAATACCAATTCATCTTCAACTATTGCAGATTTGACTGCTGCAGCGAAAGTATTTACTTGTGGAGCAGCTCCTTCTTCATTTTCTTCCTCATCATCTTCATCATCATCACTATCGTCCTCACTTTCTTTTTCTTTCACAACTTTGGGGTTTTTAAGATCATGTTCCCTTTGTGCTTTGAAATATTCATAGTCAGAATCGCTGTCACTATCATCCTCGTTTTGTATGACATTAGCTTTTGGAGCAGTACTTGGTGCAGCAGCATCACTTTTTTTAAATAAATCTTTGTGATTTTGACCAGTAAATGCCTTTAGACCTATAGCAAAATTAAGAGTTTTAATACACATACACGATACAAAAACAAATTAATTGTGGAAATACACTTACCTCTTTTAGTTTCTGTACTCTTTTCTTCATCTGGCAAAGCCGTTTCAACATCAGAATCTTCTTTTTTAACTTTTTCTACCTTCGATTTTTGTGGTTTTAATTTTTCAGGTGCAACATCTATTTCTGGTTTTTTCTTTACTTCGGTTTTTTGTTCACTAGTTGCAGGTTGATTTGATTTTAAAGAATCGGCTATAACAGCTTTACCTTCTGACGTATCTACAAAGACTGGATCGACTAGCGTGATACCTGCTAAATTTTCAACGGCCTACAAAACATATATATTAGGTTCAGATAGTTCATCTTTTATAGATATTTTTGAAAGAAAAGTTTGACAAGAATTTTACCTTAGTAAGAGTAGCAGATAATAAAACAGTTTGTTTTTCTTTAGACATAAACACTTCAGTTAAATGATGTTTCACACCATCTTTTTCTTCATGACTTTCATTGTGTCCTGATTCTTCATTACTGTCGTCATTTTCTGGTATTTTCTTTACAATATTTTGTTTCATTAGAGCTAAAGGATCATAAGTGGCTGCTTTTTTATGATCCTCAATAGCTTTAACGATAGCTGCGACGTCTTTCTCATAACCCATGTCTAATAAACGATCTGCTTCATCCAACACTAAACAGCTGTAAATACCCATACCATGTGTAAAGTAATAGAAAATTAAGAGAAATTAGGCACAAGACCTATCATGTCTTTCCGTCGTTCAGACATCGTCTTAGATTCAATTCACAGCGGAATGCGTCACGATAACACTAGATGTGGCCAGTAATTTCGCGTAGTGTAGCTCGTCGCCGCTAAACCTTTGCATGGAATGTGTATTGTTTCGTGTAGAAAATAAAGCTTCATTTTGAACCGCCTTATTTAAGTGTGTCGCATCGCGTCGCGGTGTGAGTTGGCCTATACATTGCAAAAAATCAACTTACCCAGTTTTAGCGAAGTTAAAAGAGGCTGTATGTCTTAAATGGTCGTTGATACGTCCAGGTGTACCAACTAACACATTGATACCTTTCCTCAGCCGCGCCTTCTCCGCCTTCCTCTTTTGTCCTCCACTCAACAGACCAGGCACAATCCAATGGAATGGCTAAAAAAATATATTCTTATGCACTGCTTATAAAACCTCTATATTATAGTTATAGAGTCTATAACTAGTGGAGATATCGACTTAAATAGATTTTCCACTGTATGATAAAGTTATAAGGTTGAAATTTAATTCTTTGCATTAGGATAAAAAGCTTGACCCTGCTGGAGGATTGAGCTTGAGGATAAAGAGTAAGTAATGCTTTTGATTAGTTTTGATGTAATTCTTTTTTAAAGTCGGTAAAAATTAGATTCTCACCCACTATATTTAAATATTACTACATCATTTAAAAGATAACATTTATTGTTAAATATTAAATCAATCACATTATTAAATAATAAGTTCTATAAAATATATCAATGTCCACAATACCTTGACTAGCTTTATAAAGAGTTCATAAGTTTGTACTGCAAGTTCCCTGGTAGGTACAACCACAATAACTCTGATACCATCATTCCTATTTATCTTCGGTCTTATTGCTTGCAGTCCTTCTATGATTGGTAGTGCATATGCTAGTGTCTTCCCTGAACCTGTCTGTGACCTAAATAAATATTGAACAATATTGTACAATTATATAAAAACATAAGTTTTGTAATGTATATTATTCTAATAAATGTAGATAATTATTTTAATCTATGTATTGGTCTTAATTAAACTGTCAAACACCAAGCGGTCACCGGTGACCGCAACCTATTGTTCTATAATTGTGTCTATAATGATGGTACTCGACGAATTAAAACAATTATTACTACTTGCTAGCATTATCATGATTTGAGTACAGTAAGTATAGAAACTTTTTATACAAAAATAAAGTAGGTACAGGTGTTTGTTGTCAATTTACCTAGAGATAAGCAAATATAAACATTTATACTATGGTAATCATAAAAAGAGATAATATTTTATATGCATTGTCAGTGCATAACATAATAAAATTACTTTGTATTGCGCAATTCGATAGCAATGAATTATGTATTGCATAATAATGAAAAAAGGACAAGAATATTTAATAAAGCAATTATATTTTTTATTTTATAAACAAAATTAACCTTACTTACCTAATAAGAACATCTCGTCCTTGTAAAATAACGGGTATTGCATTCTGTTGTACAGTCATAAGTTCTTTCAAACCTAGAGTTTGTTGCAAGTTAGCAACACTATGTGGATGTAAGTCTAGGTCAGAAAAGGTTTTGCCTGCAAACACCTTCTCCACAATGGGTTTGACAGCCCGCTGCCCAATACGAGGCACTTGAGGATTATTTTTGAACAACGAAGATATCCAACCACCACTCCGAGGCTTGTTCTGTTTCAACTGTATATTATCACTGAGTTCCTGGTAATTCTTGCCTTCATATTTGCCTTTATTCTCACTCAGGTCTCGTAGTTTTGCACCCAAATCATCAGATTTGTCCTCTTTCGGAGGTGCTACTTTAGCGACCTTCCTTGGAGGCCCTTCAGCATTTTTCAGTACAGCACGGTTTGCTTGAGCTAAGTTCTGAGGCCGTTTCCTAGCTATAGTCTTCCCAGTGAACTTTGGATTAGAAACAAATTTGTATTCTCCGACATTGTTCTGTGGCGCACTTGGCTTCTTTTTATCCTACCAAAATACACGAATTAAGACAGAATCAAAACAATACATTTATATTTAGACCTATATCTGACACTTACCTTTTTAGGCACTGATATATTCAATTGTAAATCATCCATATTACACTATTTCACAAGTTATTTACGTTCCACAAACTATTAGTTTGAGGTTATAGCACGTTTTGACGTTTGGTTTGTTGTGATTATTTTGACAGCTCTAGCGCGCGTTCTGAAACTGAGTGGGGTTAGTGTAAGTACCAGTAAGGACTCTTTAACCCTATTATTGGTGCTGTATACAATTTGATACGTTGTTCTTTTCAAAAATCTAGACACAAACTGAGAAATATTTTGAAAAATTTTATTACTTTAGTAGAAACAAAATATAATTAAATTTCTACCAAAAATGTTGTTTTACTATTAGTATCACTGAGAAAGCATTAGAACCCAAGATAGTGAACCAAACCAATGTGTCTACTCATCGCAAGGTAAGAAAATTCATTTTAAATCATATTAAACGATAATTAGAAACGAAAGTGATATTATTTGAATAGCTTAGAATTTTTTACTAGTCGGTATTCTGTTTTGGTTCTTCAAAACTGATTGTAACTGTATTTTTTTCACTAGTGTTTTTGAGTGTATCAGATCTGATTCATTGCCAGATAACAAATATTATAGATATTTTTGACTATGTATCTAAAATGTTACATTGCCAGAAGAGTTTACAGATACATTAATTAAGTTACTATGCATATTTAATCATTACAGATGGTTGGTCACCTAATTATGCAGCAACAAAATAGAGTTCAACAATTTGTGGCTCTTGTACCGAAGCCGGGAGCAAAATCTGATTTGAACGAAAGTGTTTTGGATGAAAGGGAGATGAAGTCGAGTATTACGAAGGCCCAGCGCATTCCGACAGTAGTTCAGCACCGCTCTCATTATCATCTTCGATGGAAAACATCCATCTATTATCAGACGACGATACTGAGGTAAATCATGTTGCTGCTTCAACATCTTTGGTGTTATACCAAAAACCATCGCCGATAACCAACCCTTGTTTGCCACTAATTTTATCGCCAAATATATTTGAAATGAGACACCTGCATTCGTTGGAGACCAAACCATTGTTTCCAGTTCCGTCCACATCGAATCAAGTAAGGTTACCATCTCCACTGGCATCGTCGTCCCCACAAGTTTCTGCACCACTCGTCAATAACTTTATGCGCCGTAACCATGCAGCTGTTATCTCCATTATAAGCGGCTACCCGCTCAAGTAGACCTAGAGTTGTCACGGTACGGCGAAGAGTAATACCACCGAAAGGGTTAGCACCACATTGGCGTTACTGTAAATTTACTGGTTCCGCAAAAGTAGATGATATTTCATTTGAGCCTAATGAAGAAAAGAGTGCCATGGAATACTTCAAGCTGTTCTTCTCAGACGACATCGTCTCTCATATAGTGAAACAAAACAAAATATCTATAGCACACAGATAAATGGTACATCTACTAATACTACAGAAGTTGGTGTCAAAGACTTTTTGACCTTTTGAATTGACGACTCACATAGTCGTTAAAATGTGTAACGATATAATAGAGGTATAGTAGCTGATAATATGACATTAAAGAAATTCTAACTACTCAGACGTTACTTCATTTCAATGAATGATATCCTCAAAGACGATGGTGACGATATTATAAAGTGAGGCCAGTTCTTCAACTGGTACTCCTAAGAACTCCTCTTAAGACGGATAAGTACGTATTACGTAGTTGTATACAAAATTGATCTCATTTTATTCATAAATTATACACATTAATTAGGTAAGACTTAAAGGCTGATTGTGACTGATAATTATGTTGATTTTTAGAAGATTTTTTTTGTATTTGTTGATTATGAAAACACAATTTATATTATTTTTAGTTTTCCTGTTCTAAGCAATGTGTCAAATATGATACATAGTTTTTTTTCTATTGATTATTATAAACCTGGCAATGTGCCTAATGTGATACATATAATAAAACGTAAATTAAATAATTACAATTTTTTTTATTATTTTTCGCCTTTCCAGTGGACACCTAGGAACACAAACCAGGCATTATTTTTCAAAAATACTGAAAATAAAATGCCTGCCAAGTATAGGGTTAAAAAAAAATTATTGTCATGGATTTCTCCAGATTCTGTAGAACTGTCTTGGTGGTAAGTTAATTACATAATAATGTCCTATCCTTACACTCGGTGCTCGTTATTGTTATAAGTACAGCGACTACCAAGCACCGACAGTCTAATCAGTCTATCAGACAATCAAAAAGTAATAAAATTGCGGGATACTTAACTTAGAGATTCTATAGGTATTTTTTTTCTCAAGGATCACCATACTCCCCAACAAACCATTAAAACCTATTATAACTCAAAGTGTTTTGTAAGCAGTATACTTATAAACACGTGTCCAAAACACAGTGATGATGCGAATTACGGAAAGATCACGTGGCGACGCGTGGCGCGAAAATAATCCCTTTGTGCATTCTATGGGGCGGAACAAATACTTATTTGAATTTTAATAAACATTATTTATGTAAAAAGCCTTTAATTTAACATAGTTTGATGGTGTTGTTTGATATAGATTTGTAAAATTCCTCTAAATAAATTTATTAAAAAAAAACTTTTTTAATTACAATATAAAAATATCTAGAATAAACCTTAAGAGATTAAAAAACCCAGGACGTTGAAAAAATAGCGGACATAGTCTCGTGAAACAGCGACTGTGGCACCTGAGTTAGATTTTCGTGCAGAATACACACACACATTGAGACGAAGGACATCTGTCGCGGGACATGGCTCGTCATTACACTTCATACATTGTATTACAAGTACACGCACACATAAATACACCACCGACATTTCGGTGATTCAGTCATTTCTAAGTGGCATTACATCCGCCTTTTGTCGACGTCCTTGTTTAAAACGATACAAATTAATAAAATAAGCATATTGAAACAAAATCCATAAAAAACAGACATAACATCACGCCTTTTATTCCCGAAGGGGTAGACTGAGGTCCACACAGAAGTAACACCCACTTTTCACTATTTATATTATGAGTTTCATGTAATAGGGGGTGAGCCTATTGCCATATACCGGACTCAATTCCAGACTCCGTGCTACTAGTGAGTTTTTTTTTTAAAAACCCAGTAATACTTTGCCCGACCCGGGAATCGAACCCGAGACCCCTTGCCCGGCAGTCGCACTCGCGACCACTCGGCCAACGAGGCAGTCTACAACAGTAAAACAACAGATTATGTGGATAAACAGTTCTTACCTACATACATAGATATCTTAATAGATATAGGTACCTATCTACTTACGTTCCTGAAATCTCTACCAACTCAAGTTAGCATAAACTCCATTGAAAGGAAGAACCGCTAAATCCATACACTTAAAATTCAAGAAACGCACGTTTCGGGCATACAGAGAAAATGGAGTGAGGGCCTGAGGGCTGAGGGCCAAAGGACGGTTGGAGGCGTGAGGGCGCGTCGTGATTACTGGCGCCCAACCGGGACGACCCCGCGTGCCCGCCGCTCTAATACCCTTCTCTTATTTAAAGCAAACACACTCGTGATTTCTGTATGCCTAACAATAAATGGGGGTTTTAAGTCAATAAGTTTTTTGTTTATTTGATTAGATGTTTTTTTCTAGATGAAGCAAATGGCTCTACGCTTCTCTTATTGTTTTTATATATATATATATATATTTGTAGTGTCGACGTATGACTAACATCTCGCCTGGTGGTAAGCGATGATGTGGCCTACGTAGATTTGTGTAAATATTATTATCTACATGGCTCTTATAGATCAGTAGATCACGGTTTTGGATTTTATTTTAAAGACTTCGAAGCTCGAATAGGCCAAAGTGTCAAATACACCAAAAAGATTTTAATGCTATAAAATAGTAAACCAACCTCCGTTTATATTCAAATTGGCTTAGCTTTACTTTCTCAGGAAAAAACAATGAACACGACATTGTTGCATGTCTGTCATATAAAAGTGGCATAACATCATACTTGCACAATATTATTGTCATAACAAACAAATAACTATATCTTAAAAACCTCAAAAAATAGGTTCAAAACATTTTAAATAAAGCAATAAAAATATAGTAAGTACACCTTCTACCTCATACATACCTGGCAAGTTGCACAATGGTACCTTGAATAATGCAGTGCACAGAAGAATTTTTTTATACTTGAATCTCCCTCATGCAGCTCATGCTAATAGTACCTAATTATTATTTAACCCTAAATAAGTGTGTTAGTATTTCTTATTTATTACGAAGAAAAATATCGATAATTTGGAATTATCAACACAAAGTAGTTAAGCAATTATTTTCACCGCAGCCAAAAAAAATATTTCAATAAGCCTAGGCCTAGGAAAATTAATTATTTATTTTAATTATCTCAAGAACAAATAAGAATGGCTTTAAAACCGACCACGTGCAAGGAAGCTATAGCTCGTTGGGAGAAGACGAAAGGTGAAAATTCAACAGAAGCGAAAGTGATTGAGCTCCAATTCCAATGGCCTCCTATAGAAAAGATGGATGGCGCTCTATCCACACTTGTAAACTGCGAGTAAGTACTGTAGCACAAGAAAAGTCTCTAGTCGGAAAATTGGAATATCAACACCAATCTACCTAATCGAGTTTTCGATGCCATCAAAAAATAAATACAAAACGGGTGTATAGTTTTTTTTTTTTGTTTTTTTTATGGCTCATATTACCTAGAGGAATTATATTTTCTTTTGATTTAATTTTAAAAATTACCCGAAGATCTTTACTTATTGTCAACAGCGCCAACTACACTACCATCTAGTACATTAGCCTCATCATCACTATAATTCGCTGAAATATTTTTAATTTAGTGAAAGTACTTATACCTAACAAATTCGAAATATTGACTTAGGTACTACTCCAAATGTTAAGATCATTTGTCTATATCTAGGAAACTAAGCCTATCATCGAACATGATCGACAAAATAGCTGGCATAGCTGGCATGAGAAATCTGAAGATATTGTCTGTCGGGAGAAACTATATCAAATCTTTAGCAGGAGTGGTAAGCCTTACATTTAATTCATAATCATCAACGGGAAGATATTTACTGCTGAACAATGCTCAAGGGTTAAAGACCAGGGGGCTTACTCTTGAATCTAATTCCTATCGATCGACATTAGTATTGTGAAATTTTATACTCTTGAGTTGCAACACTAATGCCTATTGCATCCGTATTGCGTGGATATTTAATAAACTAAATGGTATTGAGTTTGGCTTTATATTCCGTACTCTGAAAGCTATTTTAACAGCTACGATACGGGTTGTATAGTTTTAACTTTTAATAATTATTGAGATTTTATTGGATTAAAATTGCAGTGGCATTGAGATTGGTTTCAAGAGTAAGCACCCTGGTCTGACCTATCCTGGGAATCGCAGTCAGGCTACCAAAAATTCATAACTAACTAACTCATTTATGAAAACGCTAACTACTTCGGCGCGGTTCCAGCAGCTCTGCTTGGCGCCTATTTATCGTAGCGTAATATATTATAGCCTATAGCCTTCCTCGATAAATGGACTCTCTAACACAATAAGATTTTTTCAAATCGGACCAACAGTGACCTACTAAACGCTATCAAACAAACAAACAAACTCATCTGCTTTATAGTATAGGATATAAGATTAACTTACTTCTTAAAAATTAATTGGCAAAATACTATTTAGCTGTGGTTTCGGGAGGTATAATGTAGCTAATATTTTTCAAAACAATTTTGCTTGTTTCGTTGGTTGATAGGTCTTAATCACAAGTGCTACCGTTAAGCAAGGGCTCTCAGCTCAGATACGATTCTTGGATTGAGTTATTCTTTCATCGTAATTCGTAGCACGAAATCGGGTATCGGGCCTGCATGGTGTATGGCAATAAGATCTCCCTTCATCATAGATCAAAGGTTGCTAAGCTCTGTAACTCTCAATTTGAAAAATCGAAATGAACTTGATCACGGTCCACCATGACATAATGAGAATAATCGCCATGAGAATAATCTCGACCAATGAAAGAATACGATCGAGCTCACTTGAAAGTCCGAATTGACTGTCACAGTATACCCTAGCAGTTATGACAAGTTAGAGACACTTAATACCATAACGTCACGCCTTTTATCCCCGAAGGGGTAGGCAGAGGTGGACATTATGCCACTATACAATGCAACACCCACTTTTCACTATTTATGTTATGAGTCCCATGTAATAGAGAGTGAGCCTATTGCCATATACCGCGCACAATTTCAGACTCCGTGCTACTGCTAAGAATTTTTAAAAACCCAATAATAGTTTGCCCGACCAGTGAATTGAATCGGAGACCCCATGCCCGGCAGTCGCACTTGCGACCACTCGGGCAACAAGGCAGTCAGTTACCAAGTTATAGACACTTTATTGTTCGAAAATAGTCTTATGCTACACTGTATTGATATTACAGGAAACCGTAGCAGAGTCATTAGAAGAACTATGGATAAGCTACAATCCCATAGATAAATTGAAAGGCGTCGGGGCGCTCAAAAATTTAAAAGTTCTATACATGTCTAACAATCTGATCAAGGAATGGG